CGACATTACTCTTACATTTCCCTATCTAAACCTAACTCAGTTTAGGCCTTCTCCTGTTGCTGCTGCTCCTGCTGCTGCTGCTGCAGCAGCAGCAGCAGCTGCTGCTGCTGCTGCTGGTCCTGGCGGTGGGTCTGGTTCTGGTTCTGGTGGTGCTGCTGCTGCTGCTGCACCTGCTGCTGCTGCTGCTGCTCCTCCTTCTCCTGCTGCAGCTCCAGCACCAACAGCAGCAACACCACAACAACCACCAGCACCAGCAGCAGCAGCAGCAGCAGCAGCAGCTCCTGCTGCTGCTGCTGCTGGCAGCTTCTCCTTTGGCTTTGCTCTTGACTTTATAAGACAAGCCCCCCTCTGCAGCTACCTGCAGCAATTCCCAACAGATAATATGAAGGCTGATCATGTAGAGGGGTTTGTCTATTTATTTTATTTTATTTTTATTTTATTTTTTTATTTATTTGTTTGTTTGTTTGTTTTTGTTTTGTTTATTTTGTTTCGTTTGTTTATTTGCTTTTGTTTTGTTCGTTTTGTTTTGTTTTTTTTGTTTTTTGTTTCTGGTTTTTTTGTTTTTGTTTTTTTTGTTTTTTTATATGAAGGCTGATCATGTAGAGGGGTTTGTCTATTTATTTTGTTTTATTTTTATTTTATTTTTATTTTATTTATTTATTTATTTATTTATTTGTTTTTGTTTGACTTATTTATTTGTTTTTGTTTTATTTATTTGCCTGTTTTTGTTTGTTTTAGTTTTGTTTTTGTCTGCTTTTTTTTTATGTGAAGGCTGATCATGTAGAGGGGTTTGTCTATTTATTTTATTTTATTTTTATTTTGTTTTTCTTTTATTTCTTTGTTTTTATTTATTTATTTGTTTATTTGTTTTTGTTTTTGTTTTGTTTTGTTTTTTTTTGTTTTTTGTTTCTGGTTTTTTTGTTTTTTTTGTTTTTTTTCGTATGAAGGCTGATCATGTAGAGGGGTTTGTCTATTTATTTTATTTTTATTTTATTTATTTATTTATTTTTGTTTTGTTTATTTTGTTTTGTTTTGTTTGTTTTTGTTTTGTTTATTTTATTTTGTTTTGTTTTGTTTATTTTGTTTCTTGCTTTTGTTTTTTTTTTGTTTTTCTTCGTATGAAGGCTGATCATGTAGAGGGGTTTGTTTATTTATTTTATTTTTATTTTATTTATTTATTTATTTATTTGTTTTTATTTATTTTGTTTTTGTTTTGTTTTGTTTTGTTTGTTTTGTTTCGTTTTGTTTGCTTTGTTTTTGTTTTTTTTTGTTTA